CAGTTCGCAAACTGCCAAACTTTCGTCATCCCGAAGAGAGAAAGGGAAGAAAAATCAAAATAGGAAAAAGAAAAAAATATGAAGAGAGTAAAAAATGAAGCAAACTTGAATCTGATGGGGCGTACGGGATACCTCAAATGCCACTGGTCTTTGTATGTGTGTGTGTGTGGTGGTGGTAGGAGTACTAGGAGTTGATCTTGATTGATGGGGGGCTCGGGAGGGGTGCCATTCGTTGAGTGGCGCCTCTGAGATGTGGGAACAAGGCTGACAGCAGCAAGTCAGATCGGTCGTTCTCATACCGGAGTGTAACCAGATCGAGTCGCGTATTCCGTATTATTGACTGGATGTCCCGCGAACGAAGAAAAACAGGCAGACAGATGGGGCTAAAATGCTCGGAGAGGAAACAAATGGCGAATGAAATTGACAGATTGAGATTGTGAAAAAGGGAAAAGGATAATCAAAACAGAAAATAGGCCGCGATGTTGACTGAACCGGAATTATTCAATAAAAAGGGATATCAAACAAACAGTCTGGAACAATTTAACCCATATCAGCAAACGCTGACAACGGCAACGACGAAAATAACGTCCTCCATGACACGATCATCGGCACTATCGCGGGATCAATAGATGGCTAGAGTTGTGGTGACTGGGCCGATCCATCGAGTCAGCGTCACAGGCCATGTCTACTAAGTGGAGTTGGGCTGGGCTGTTCGGGGCATGGCGATTATGGTTTGTCAATCCAAGGTGCCATTTCAGCAGCTCATTATCAATAACGATCACCATTGTGAGCTCTGAACTATGACTCTTCAAGCATGGCCAGGGGGTGGCCGGCCATATCCTAGGCAGCGACTCGTGTGGGTGGGAATCAAGCTCTTACCCGGTGGTACCTGGATTGAATCTCTGAGAGATCCCACTCCGATGGTGGACTCGACCAAGTGGTTCTCCCAAATCCATGATATCCAGTTATTTCCCGAGGACGAAGATTATACTTCGCTTCTATAACAAGATGTTTGACCGGTGCCGTTCAATCCGACTACCTACCCATCAGACTAACAACGGCTACTGTACTGTGCCTAATCCTCCCGGCGCCAATCTTCATTAATCCAGACCATCCATTTCCTGCCCTTTCCTTCCAAACCTAAAAACACCTGTGTGGGTATTGGAGCCCAACATGCCAATGGGAAATTTTCTTTTTCTATCTGTTTCCTTTTTTTCCCCAATTTCTTTCTTGCCTTTTTTTATTTTTCCCATTTTCCCTTTTCGTCCAACACTAATTATTATCCTCGACAATGTGAATGCCTTTTTCCCTTCACGCTTTTACTTTGAGAGAGGTTTGGGGCTTGTAATCTTTTTTTATTGTATTAGCAGAGACAGCAGCTCCAAGATGACTGGCCAAATGACTCAAGATAGCGTTGACTGGGCGAAGTTAATGCAAAGAAGAAAAAGGAAAATGCCAACGAAGAAAAGAAAAAGAAAATGACAGCTGATTAATAATCCCGGCCAACACGATCTGTCACGGCCATATTGACACTCACCCGGCCGGATGCACACACACCCGCACACCCACTCTGCTTAGGGTGGTGTGGGTGGCAGGTGCTTGCTTCTTACCTACTACCAAGTAGGTAAAAGTAGCTGCATGTTCTCCCTCCACTGCCCATGCCTCCTAAGTGGCAGCTCGCAAGCCATGATTGTCACAGTAATTTCATGAGATTATTTCCCGGCCTGTTATAATTAGTCGTCTGCAGCATGATAGGCGAGAGAAGCCATGCGGATTACCACTGACCATATACCACTTACTCTCTGTACATACACCGTTCGACACTCGGTTGATCAGTAGATACTTCTCCAGACCTAACCACCAACTGCTCCCTTTTTGGATCACCGTTCTCACTGGCGCATTTTAGTCTCCGATCCATTTCTGGTCGTCACAATCTCAAGTACAAAAACGCAAGCGAAACAACGGAACCCCATCTGCTTGACCTTCTCAAAGTTTTGAGATCTCGACGCTTGGCGGCTGTTTCCGATTCTTTGTCTACAGTCTTTGTTCTACCTTTCTTTTTTCCTGCTCTTTAAGCTTTGCCTATCATCCCTCATACTGCTGCTACTCTAGTCCAGTTGCCAGTTTTGCTGGACAGTTTTTCCTAATTTGAACCTCGACGGGCCAAAGGTACGTTCTATTTCCTTGCCAGTTATCCCTACTACCCACGGTTCTTGTCGTCAAACAATTCCCGGGGTCGCAGCCATGTCAGTGGTGGCCTACAGGTAAACCGTCATCCGCTGCATCTCATATTTCTTTTTTGCAAAGAAAAGTCCCCTACTGTATGCCGTGCTCGGCATCTAGTGGCTCTCTCTCCCTTTCTTACTCTCAGTCTCTCTTCCCCAGAATTCTCACCTTTTTTGCCCCGTTGATTTTTATGATTTTACTTTTCCCACCATTTTATTCTTGGATTTGACTCTGCCACTGCATGCTGCAAACCATCCCCCCAAAAGACAATTCATCGAGTCAGCCATCTCTTTCCTTTCCAATTGCGCCTGTCTGTCGTCGGGAGTCACTCTGTTCGAGTCAATCCTCTTCAGAGACCCTCAAAGTGTCGCATTCGCGTTTTTGCTCCTGCGTCCTGCATCCATCCTGGTCAATATTACACCACCTTCCCGCTAGTTACAAGCTCATCCTGATATCCCCACTAGTCAGTGCATCCCTCTGACGCTGTCCTGCCCTCCGTCACTTGTCTGTTTTCTTTCCCTATTTCTTTTTTATTTATTCATTTTAACCCTTAATCTTTTTTTATTTAAATCCTTTTTCTATTTTTCCTTTTTTTATTTTATTCTTTCCGCCCCCCTTCTCCCTGCTTTAATTTATTTCTCCCAGACTTCTTCAACTCCCCCCATACCTGTTCCGGAATAGCTAGCTGGTGAACAACTCCTCTGACTGAAGGATGGGTCTCCAGCGCAGCTAAATAACGACCCTGGACCCTCCACAATTACACTTGCACACTCGCATTGCACCGTTTATCCAGGCCCATCATCGCCAGGCCCCCTTCCTTTCCCACCCTCACCCCCCTCCCCTCCCCCAGTTCAGAACCACACGGACCAACGAGCCACTACCGTTACCCTTCAGCCTCTCATTAGCTTTCCTTTTCATAAGCTCTTCTCTAGTCTAGTCTAGATATCCTTCCCACCCCCGTTTCTGGGCCCCTCCCTCCGGACTATCTTCTTACGCGCATCCTTTCTTCTCTCCCGCACCCAAGCTGAACTTTGTTTTATGTCTCTCCTCTAGACTTCCCTCCCCTTATTATATGAGCTGAAGCCATTGAAGGACGAAAGCAAAGGAAGTCCAGAAAAAAAATAAAAAAGGATTATCATCCCGGACCATTCGAGGTCAGTCATGACCGGCATGGTTCAGACTGACCTAGCTCATCCACCTGCACCAAAGTACAAGGACGAGCCAGTGGAAGATCCTGTGAGTGTATTCTCATCACTTCTTGAGTGCTAGAAACCCGTGCTTTTTTGCCTGTTATGTTGTTCTTTTCTTTTCCAGTATTTTCTTTTTCCCTTCTCCGACCTTTCTATCTTGGTCTTTTGCCTCTCATGCCTGCATCAATCCATGGCTTTGCCTTCATCCAAGGTCAACCTGGCCTACTGCGCATGAGTGCTACTGGGGAGAACCCGGGAGTATGTGGGCATTTGGTCCTCAGTAGAGCAGGCCTCCCTGCTTGTTGAGACCGTATACGATAACCTGACCGTGTCGCCTGTTTCCACTGCGATGACGTCTCCCGCAATGCGCCAATAATCAATGCACGGACGTCTTGTCTTCCGACGTCCGTCGAACACCTTGTGGTCTCACCCTCGACATTCGGAATATTCTTCAACGTCCTGCGACACTAGAGCCGCCAATGGGGCTGGAAAGTTTCTTCAGCACGGGTCATACCCATATCTGTCATGCTCTCTAGCCGCGCTTGCAAAAAGTCATCGCTGACTCGGCTTTGACTGTTCGACCAAACTATGAATCTGATTCGGAACCCACGTGTCTTTTTCCCTTTCACTTTCCCTTGGAAGCGACAAAGGGGGGTCATTCTTGTTGCCTGAATGATGCGAATTGCCAGCCGGATGGACATTATAGCCACCGGGGCTTTGGGAGGCGCGAATAGGTCCACATTTACCAACTTTTATCAACAATGCTTGCCCGTGGCAAGTGCACTCCTTATTGCCTGCATGCCGCCATATACGCATCGGGCTGCCTCCGACAGATGCTCAACCACATGTGTGTCTGGGTTTCTTGCTTACTGAACAAGCAACTCTCTGATTTGTGTTGCCATGTGCAGTTTCTGATTCAACTACACTGTTCTTCGTCTTGCACATACTTTCTTAAGTGTTTCTTTGAGCATATCGCAAGCTGCAATATATCGAGCACTCGAGTTCTGAAACTGGTTTCGAGAATAATTCAGATCCCAGCGCTAACTGTCGTTTGACCCAGCATCGCCATCCCGGCCCGCAACCGCCTCATCTTCATCATCCTCGACCAACTCTTCTGGTTCAGCCACAGAAACAACCAGAATCACCACATCAGCCTTCTACTACCCTACCGTCTGGTTCATACGCACCTCACGCCTTAGGCAACGGAGTTATACATCATCAGCACTCCTACGGCCCGCCATCAGAGCAATCGTACTACTCATCTCATTCCTCTTATAGTACAGCAAGCGCACCCAGTCAGTACTCATCAAGTGGTAAGTGCGGTGCAAGGGGTTTCTTTGATGTTTTTGGTGTAATGGGATTCGCAGCAGCAGTGGCAACAATGTGCTCTAAAGCTTGCTCTGATTTCTCCAGGCCACAGAGGCTGATTCATGCTCAGGACCACCAGAAATGATGGCTGCAGCCACGCAAATGCAGCGGCCGTATCCTCCAATTTATCATACGCCCCAATCCAGCTCGCCTGCTTCAGTAGCTTCCCAAACACACGAACAGCATAATCGCGGCATATACACACAGTCGCCCCAAATGGCCTCGCAAATGTATGGCTATCCGCCATACTCACCCATGAATCCTGTGCAGCCTCCGCCCTATGGACCGAATACTTCCCCCCAACAGCATCAGCTTACGACACAGCCACTGATGGTGCCCCATCCAACAAGCACTGCGCAGTTACCCCACCATCCAGCTCAAGCTCCAACAGGGAACTTGTCAAGTAGTCCAAATTCAGCTGCGGCACAACAGCCAACGCCCCCTCAGAGAACGATGCTAAACCCCCCTCACTCAGCAGCTAGTGGTGCACCTTTGTCAGCCAGTGCTGTTCACCATCAAAACTCTAATGTCGGGGCCAGCTCTAGCGCGGCACCAGGACCAATTCCTGCCACAACCCCCCTGGTTGTCCGACAAGATAGCAATGGTGTCCAGTGGATCGCGTTTGAGTACTCCCGGGATCGTGTAAAAATGGAGTATACAATCCGCTGCGATGTTGAGTCGGTTAATGTGGATAATTTAAGCCAGGAGTTCAAGACTGAGAACTGCGTTTACCCTCGAGCCTGCTGCAGCAAGGACCAGTACAGAGGCAATCGGCTGGTCTACGAAACTGAATGTAATGCTGTTGGATGGGCCTTGGCGGAGCTGAACCCGGCACTGAGAGGCAAGCGTGGGCTGATTCAGCGGGCAGTGGATAGCTGGAGGAATAGCAACCAGGACCCTCGACTTCGAAGCCGGCGTGTGAGGAGGATGGCCAAGATTAACAAGCGGCAGGCGATGCCTGTGCCTCCGCCTCACATGGCGCCTTCCACCCCTGTTGGCCCTGGGGTGCCAAGTGCTAGTATGCCCGCCCCCGGTCCCCGTCCCAGCCTGGGGCCATTGCCCATGGGCCCCCCTCAGCTACATCACCACCATGCCCAGCCAGATGGAAGTGCAGGCCACGAAGAAGCTAGCGGTATGTTCCACCACACATGATGTGCTTGTCCCTGACACTGTTTGAATGAATCGACGGTGCTCATGTCGGTTTGTCTTGTATTGTTCGATGTTTTTTGCCATGTCTAAGTAGGCAGATCGCCACCGAACGGACGTGAATTTGGTGTGCTTTCTTCCAAGAGATATGGATACCGTACCCCATGTATTTCTATTTGGTCTGGAGAGGCTCTTGTCATTTTGTTGCTTGTTGTTTTGCTCATACCCGGTTCATGTTTCGCCTGTTATGCTACCTTGACGCTGTACCCCGCTGTGCTTTCAAACATGACGTGCCACCTGCAGTTTTGCGTAGGCTAATTTATATATTGTCCTATCATACATAATAGGTGCCACTGACTATACGAACGGTACCAGTCGTCCACCTGTCTCGGATGGTCTGCAACCCGGACCATCGCCAACGGACATCCGCACGGCGCAGGTGTTCCATGGCTACCCTTCCTATCCGACCCCCGCGACGGCCTCAGGGGGACCAAGGGGTCCCTCAATACCACCACTACTCCGAGATAGTGGCATCGGGTCTCTCGGGCGCCATCCCACCATTGCGACGTCCTCGAACCGGATCGAAGAAGTGGACGATGACGACGATGAGCGCAATCCAAGCAGCGATGCGCTCTTTGGTACACTGCCCGAGGGCAAACGCCGCAAGTTCATCCTGGTGGACGATAATCAGCGAGGTTGTCGCGTGCGTGTTAAGGTCATGCTGGACCAGGTTGATATGGACGAGATCCCCGACTCCTACAGGTTGTCTAATGCAGTATACCCCCGGACATATTTCCCTGTTCAGATGAGGGATCCAGGTCGGGTCGTGCCCGGAAATCGATATGTCAAGGACAACACTGGGGCTGAAGAGAGTGAGGATGAGGATGAGGATATGCCCCCCCGGAGGGTCATGGTTCCTGCACCTCGCATTGATGGTGAAGGCGAGATCGCGGTTCCCCGGCTGTCCCGAGGACGACGGAGAAGAGAGGTACTCTTGAATGACCTGGGCTACCGAATGAGTTGGAGCCAAAGTCGAGTGTTTGCGGGGCGAATGCTGTTCCTGCAGCGATCTCGTGCGTGATCTTCCCTTTCCCTACATCCCTTGCATCGCCTGCATGTTGGCCATGCAGTCCCCACCTCGGAATACTGTGAATGTGACTAATCTTTGACCCGTGTCGGGAATGTAGTTGACGCGTACCGAAATAAGATGCGCAGCACGATGCTGGCGGCCGGCCAGGACCCGACAGCCATTCCCCGGCATTTCGAGACGCGGGCGGGAAAACGACGATTCCTCGAGCGTAGGCGACGGGCAGCGGGAGGTCCGACTCGGGGTGCCGGTGCCCATGGGGTGTCTGCCTCGCAGCGCAGTGCTGAAGAGGTCGAGGCTTGACCGATGCATCTTGAAAACACACCATCTCCTTCTATTTTTATTCAGTGCTACCGTATCCCTGAAGGTTGTGTCAGGGAGATGTTTACTTTGACCGTGTCACTCGTTTCTTGTCTCAGTTCGCCTGATCCTTCTGCCGGGTTGTCCCTCAGGTTTTATGCTGACGGGGCCGACAGCGATCATGGGCCGCTATGTAAAGTAATAGATATCTGGAGGGAGTCCAAGAGGGGGGAAGGGGATATGGCGGTCTGATGGATCGGGCGTTGGATTTCGATGATGATTTTTGTTCTTGACATGATTATGATGATTTGACGGCTGCCCTTACTACGAAAACAATATGATGAATGACTGATGATGAAACTCTGAATGTGAATGATGGTATTGTGGTTTTGTGGTTTTGTGGTTTTGTGCCTTTTTCTTCCTTTGGTGTCATGTCAATGAAACCCCAAAGAATACGAGACCAAACAAGGTTAATTGGTTGCTGCCTGCCGCATTCAGTGCATCTGGGCGGGCACGTGCAACCCCGATTCCGATTAGGTCGAAGCGGCAGTGGACCAACCGGGGGAAGACCCTGACCCGATGCGGCTTAGTGGCTGCTGGACCCTGGCGTTTAGTACGACGTTTGGCTTCCAATTCAGGGCACAGTTACATACACCCGCTCCATACAACCATACAGTATACAGTACAAGTCTAGTGGTTGTCGGGGTCACCGCCGCTCCTCTCCCACCCCCTCCACCAAAAAAGTAACTTCATCCATTAACCTTTTTTTTGCTCGTCGCCATGGAAGCTGGGGTTCTTTTCTCCACTGCTTCTGTGCCGCATGCAGTCACTTTATCTACTGCCAATCTTCCGACTTCCATCCATCTACTACCACCCACCTTAGTCACGAATACTGGTTGTTTCTCTTTCATATCCGCCTTCTCCATCCATCCTTCACCCCCTCACGTCCCGAATCCAAGACACCCCGAAACTTAGTCTAAGATCCGGGTTTGCATTTCAAATCTGATTGAGTTCGTGGCTGCGTTCCTTTTTCTATTTCGGCGGTATGCTGACAATTGCGTCGAAGAAAATAGCCCGTCGCAGTTCACTGGTCCACGATATTCCGCCCATCCTTGGGTGAACTTTCACGGGATCGTCTGTAAACGACGAACCGTGGTTCCGTCGGGCTGTCAGACTTGTTCTTGATTTAGAAACAACACCCTGCGACGGTTAGGGTGCCATACTACTACTACCACCTGCCTGCCGGGAGACCGCTTTTTCTGCCCTTGCCTCGTTCGTCTGGCTGTCTTACTTGGGGTCGTGCTTGGTGCTCTCTTCCTTCCTTTCACTGCTCCTACTAGTAACTCTTCCTCATCTATCGCCCTCTCCTCCTTCGTCGCCTGTTAGCTCAGTACCCTATTATTATACCTATTTCGTCTCCTATCGCGATATTTCCTAACAATCATTCACAACGAATTCCTTGTCACATGTTCCAGCATGGCCGGCGTGAACCGGTCCTTTAGTTACAGTCGCGGCGACGATGCGTTGTTGAGAGATGATGAGCGAGAGATCTCACCCCTCCGATCTGCAGAAGACGGTCTCTACAGTACATCATATGGCGACATCTCCCCGCTATCTGCTGGGTTTCAAGGGCAGACCAGGCCATTTGACCGAGGTCTGGTGTCAGTCCCGGAAGGTCAGAGTCTGGAGCGCCACATGACCTCGACACCGGGGATGGATAATCTAGGGCCGGCCTCTGTGGGTGGCGGAATCAGTGGTATCGCTCTTGGCGTGGCCAATTCTAATAATCGCCAGAGTGGAGTTGACGCTTTTAGGGAAACAGATGTTCCAGTACGCAATCTCCCTGCTGAACGGGATTTCAACACCACCGGCTCCGATAATCCCTATATACCTGCTCCGCCCGATGGAGACATGTATCCGAATTCGGAGACGATGAGGTATCGCGACTCTTACAGCTCGCATACCGGGCTTGGTGCTGGCGCGCCTTTTGCAGAACATAGCACGCCGGGAACCACGCCATCCCAACGTAGCTTCTTCGATAGTCCGTACCAAGGTGTGGATGCTGGACCGTATCAGCGACATTCGGCTTATAGTTCTCACGACTACCCGCTTGTCATCAACCCGGATGATATTGCTGACGATGGCGATGATGGGTTCCCTGTCCACCCCAAGGGAGTAGCGGACTACAGATCGAACGGAAATGTGCCTGCTGCAGGTGTCGCTGGCGCAGCGGCTGCTGGGGGGCTTTTAGGGAAGTTTCGGGCGCTTTTCAAGAAGGAGCAGCCTAGTCCATATTATGATTCTGATATTGGAGGTGGGTTGGGAGGAGCCGAAAAGGCACAAGGAGGTAGGCACATTATTGGAGGCGGGAGTCGCAAACGTGGGTGGATTGTTGGGCTCGTATTGGCGGCAGTGATCGTGGCAGCTATTGTTGGGGGCGCTGTCGGTGGTATTCTGGGCCATCAGGAGCATGACGGCGATACATCGTCGTCATCATCATCATCGGGCACAGGCTCTGGTGGTTCGGACAAAGGAGATGGGCTGCTCGACAAAGATTCCGACGAGATTAAGGCACTTATGAACAACAAGAACCTCCACAAAGTGTTTCCCGGTGTCGACTATACCCCGTGGGGAGTGCAGTATCCGCTGTGTCTCCAATATCCTCCGTCGCAGAACAACGTTACGCGCGATCTGGCGGTGCTCACGCAGTTGACTAATACTATCCGACTTTACGGCACTGACTGCAATCAGACTGAGATGGTCCTTGAGGCCATTGACCGCTTGCAGTTGACTAACATGAAGCTCTGGCTGGGTGTGTGGATTGATACCAATACAACGACTACGGATCGCCAGATTAGCCAATTGTATAAGATCGTCGAAAGTGCAAACGACACCTCGATATTCAAGGGAGCTATTGTGGGTAATGAGGCTCTCTATCGAGCAGGCTCGGACGTGGCGAGTGCAGAAACGAATCTAATCGGCTACATTAACGATGTCAAAGACCACTTCAAAGAGAAGAACATTGACCTCCCAGTGGGCACCTCGGACTTGGGCGACAATTGGAATGCACAACTCGTCAGCGCAGCCGACTTTGTCATGTCGAACATTCATCCGTTCTTCGGAGGAGTAGAGATTGATGACGCCGCCAGCTGGACATGGACATTCTGGCAGACGCACGACACCCCACTCACAGCCGGAACGAACAAACAGCAGATCATATCAGAGGTCGGATGGCCGACGGGTGGAGGGAACGACTGTGGGTCCGACAACAAATGTCAGAATGACAAGCAGGGCGCTGTAGCGGGCATCGATGAGCTGAACCAGTTCCTGTCGGAATGGGTTTGTCAGGCGTTGGACAATGGTACAGAGTATTTCTGGTGAGTTGCAGACTATTACACTTTTCAGGACGCGGCTAATTTATATGTAGGTTCGAGGCTTTCGATGAGCCGTGGAAGGTCCAGTACAATACGCCCGGTCAGGAATGGGAAGACAAATGGGGGCTGATGGACTCGGCTCGCAATCTGAAGCCGGGCGTCAAGATCCCTGATTGTGGCGGCAAGACAATTACGTGAACGCCGATACGTCTCTAGACCTCCTGATGAAAGTGATGATGGATGAAATGTACACAACATATCCGACATACATCATGTGTTATGATGCATTACGACTGATCGATTTCTGCTGTGCTTCCTTGCGGTGTTAGAGCTTTGTCCTGGGACTGTATTCTATTGAGCTGGTGCATGGGTCGGCTGCCGTCATTTATTTGCGCGGCATTCCGACGAGTGTCACGACGCCATCCTACGCGAAGTGCTATTTGGCGTGTTTGTATATAGCGTGAGCGTGTGATCCACATAGGGCTGACAATACGACCCTTGTTGCATGCATGCCGATTCGGCATTCGGAACGCATGGCGTAGGCGTGTAGCAGTAGATGGTTGTCACCATAGCAGCCATTCACCACTATTCTATGGTGACAGGCAACCATCCCCATCTAGATGATATGATACTCCCTACTACTCCTCCCCCTCCTTCTCCAACGGATAATAAACCCGCATGTTCCAAAACGCATGTTCCTGCGCCTCAAATAGCGGCAACCTGACGGACCCTCTCCTCTTCACAAACGCACCCACCACCTCCGACTCGACATCTTCCAACGGTCCCCCAAACACAAACGCCGGATCCAGCGCCAATAACTGCTCAAGATGTGTGCGCTCCGCACCAGGACAGAAGAGGAATGTACGCGGAGTTACTTTTCCGAAGGCGAGGGGGGATTCGAGGACGATGATGTCGAGGGAGGAAAGAAGAGATGTATCGAGGGTATTGAAGACAGGGTCTTGAGCGTAGGTTTTGATCGTTGAATCTGTTAATTGAGAATGAATGATTAGATGGGTAATTGAGATAGATAGGATATGAATAAACTCACCAGCAGAAGATGAGGAAGAGATAGAGGCAACAACATCCACCAACGCCGCCAACTGATACAGCGAAACTAATCGCCGATCGACCCATCCTCCACGAAGAAATCCGCTCGGACTGCCGAGACCGATGCAGATGATGGAATCAATCCCTGTTCCTATTCCATTATGCTTATTCTTCTCTGTTGTAGTATGCGATTGTTGTGTATCCGTATTCGACTCTCGTGATTGTAATTGAGCAAGGAGGATATTGTGAAGCGTCCTCCCTACCACATCGCACGTCGATGAATCTTTCCATGTGCGTTGGATCAGAGTGAATTGCGATTTGAGGGAGTCGAGGGTGGTGGTGGGTGGGGCTTCGGCGGGGTGGAATAATGATTCTTTATCTTCTTTTGTTGTTGGTGATTGGGATTGGGATTGTGGGTGTGATTGTTGGTCTTTGGTGGTGCGCGCACAGCGGCGCGCTTTGCCGCTGGTGGTGACATGCGTCCAGCCGGTAGTGGCGTCGGTGATTTGGAGTCGTTTTTGCGCTTGTAAGGTGTTGTTGGGGTGAGGGTGTTTTTTGCGCGAGGTGTGGGGCATTTTTGCTTCTTTCGTTTTGTAGTATGTACTTTTGGGTGTTGGGTTTGAGGGGTTGGTGAGTGGGTGGGATTAATTGGTGCGAATGGGTTCTGGTGGTGGAAGATGCATGAATGGCAGAGAGAATTAGAATTGAATGCGACGGAGGGGAGGGAGGGGAGGGCCGGCGGGCGGTAAGTGGGTGGGTTTGATTGGTGGGAGGATATTAAGTAGTAGACACGCTTATAAGCGGCATAGCCTGGGCCCATCCTTTGCTCCCCACCATCTATTTTCACCAGTAACTATACAGTATCGTCGAGGGCTAATCGCATCTCTTTTACTCTGCACCATGTCTACTGCAAAGGAAAAGCAGAATGTCCAGTCTGTTGGCTCCGGACCACAAGTCAATATCCACTACTCAGCCCCTGGTTTCGCAGTACTCGATCCAGATACCATCAAGACAATGGCGAACCCCAGCAATACCATATTCAGCTGGGGCGGCGTACAGATAGTGAAGATATCTCCTGAAGTTGCTGTCAAATTTGGCTCTCATGTCACATTACACGAGGCTGAAAGTATGTTGTTTGTTAATCAGAATACAGAGACTGTACCAGTGCCCAAGACTTTTGCCTATTACTCTTACGGCCCAATAGATCGAGATGTTGATGACTATGGGAGTCTTTATGATAATTATATCTTCATGAGTTATGTGGAGGGTCAGAGGCTGGATAAGGCCTGGGACACTTATAATAGTGTGACGAAAGGTCGAATTGCCGGCCAGTTGAAAGGGTATCTCGATGGGCTTCGCCAGGTTGAGCACAGGAATTACATAGGCTCTGTTGATCGTGGGCCTCTTCGTGATTCAATTCTAGGAGACCTTGAGTACAAGGGTGAGTAGTGTCACCGGTGCCTGTAATTGATACTGACGCTACTAAGGACCCTTTGATTCGGAAGATGATTTTATGCAATTATCAATGCGTATCAAGACACGACACCAAAACGTCATGTCAAGAATGTCCTGGTTGGTATGCTTGCTTCTCAGAAAAGACACAATATCGTGTTTACCCATGGGGATTTTCGTCATCCCAATATCATGGTTGACGATGGGAACGTCACTGGAATTGTAGATTGGGAGTTCAGTGGCTGGTTCCCTGAACACTGGGAGTTTGTCAAAGCTCTCGCGGTATGGCAGTAGCAGAATGATTGGACTGGATACTTGGCAAAGATTCTCGAACCGTATTATACTGAGTATGCGGTGTTTTTGTTCTTTCATGAAGTTCTCTGGATGTAATAATTGTCGTTGGGTCTGTAAGCCTGCTTGGAAAGAAATCAATAGATAGTGGACTAGTCCAGGTAGACCTGGTGCCTGCAAGGTCGGAAGACAATGAAACTGCAGCTGATAGAAGTATGAAAGACAATATCGTAAGCTCCTTGAACAATCTGAAGAGATAGTAGTGAGCTATAATCTTTCTTATTGTGCCTATCCGCATAGCCTTTAGATTTCGAGATCACGTGGTGTTATGGTAGGTGATGTCTTCCTGAGCCTAGATCAAGTTCAAGCTAAGGGCATGCAGCCAAAAATCAAGCATGAGGAAGAACAGCGGATAAAGACATTACCTACAATTATCCCTGTCATGCAAGCTTGGTCACGGCGCTTCAAGTCGGACCAAGATGCGTAGCCTATACTATGGCGGGGTTGGGCGCTTAGCTACAGGCTGAACACCAACAGTATCAGCATTCGTCCAACTCACAACACAAGTTGCATGGTATATTCGTTGGAAATGGAAGATGTGATTATCATACAAAACAATGAATGCAAAGTATTTGGTTGGTTTTGGTGTTCACTTAATGTGATTGGCTATAGCAAATCGTGCCCCAACACATCCAGAATCGGGGTGATAATGCGAATCAGCGTGAAGGTTGACAACCATTAGAAAGTTCCGTAGTAGCGCTGAGACGGGGCTATACTAACAGAAGGAGATAGTTACCTGAAAAACTGCAATGAGACTAATGGACAGAAGCTGCATGCGATCGTCCCGTCACACTGCGATCACCTCCCCATCGGCCCCTCTGAGTCGATCTCTAAGCGCCCTGCCCGGATAGCGCCCGTCGCTCCCCCTCTTCTGCTTCCTCCTGTGCCCTCTCGTGCCCTCACCCAACCCTTGCTCGGCGCTACCAGCAGCTTCCTCTCCGCGAATGACAGTCCAGAACTGCTCCCTGTCGCTGTGATGTCTCTTGCAGCCCGCCTCCCTGGTCTATCCACCCAGCCAATCTGCTTCTTGCAATCCTTCGCGCGCTCCCCAGTTGTAGTCTAGTCTGATCCAGTCCTGCTATCAGCTAAACTTCTGCCGTTGGAACCGTCACTCATCCCATCCCATCCCCAATCGCCGCTGTCCCCTGCGGGAGTTGTCACATCGCACATTGCGCTGTGACTCGTCCATATCGCTTGCCTTCCCCGCTATGCCGGTGGCCGTGAGCGCCATTGCAGGAACCGGCCATGGCCTCTTCGTCTCGACTCAAAAAGTCATGGCAGCCCTCCCTCCCGCCCAGCTGCTGGAAGGCTTGGTTTCATGATGATCATTCTTCTTCCTGCAGTGCTGGATCGCTTGCCGTGACTGTTTTCGTCTGTCTCTTGATGAGTCGAGGTTGCTAGAGGTTATTTCTGTTCCATCTGACCTCCTCTGGCGCACTCTGTATATCTCCTCTTTCCTATATCTCCTTCCTCTATTGTTCTACCCACTGGTGCCCTCAGAATGAGATCCTTCAGCGACTCGATATCCCGCTGGACAGCGGCCCTCACCCTCCTGTGGCTGAGTCTGGTCAATGCTCACACCGTCATCACTTACCCCGGATATCGAGGTAACAACCTGCACACCAACGGTACGGTCGAAGAGACCAACGGTCTGGGTGTCGCCTGGAAGAACGGCTCCTACGTCTATCCCTATGGAATGCAATGGATCTATCCTTGTATGTATCCCACCATGCCTTGTCCATCTTCTCAAAGAAGGTAGTCAGCTGACTTTTTCAGGTGGCGGTATGGCCACTTCTCGCAATCGCACCAAATGGCCCGTCACCGGCGGTGCTGTCGCCCTTCAACCTGCCTGGTTCCGCGGCCATGAGACGGCCTTCGTCTACATCAACATCGGCTGGGGTACCGTGCCCCCCAATATGAGTAACCCCATGCTCTCGGTCTTTGAAATCGAAGGTCCCACCAACAACCCTTACCCCGGCACCATCTGTATGCCGCAAGTGCCGCTGCCAGCCAATATGAGTGTGAGCCCGGGTGATAATGCGACGATTCAGGTGGTGTTGGCGGCGAAGCACGGTGCTGCTCTTTATGATGTATGCAACAGCCCCTCTATATATCCACATACATCGGATTGATACTGACTGACTTAGTGTGTGGACATCACCTTCGCTGAACCTGAGGATGTCGAGGAAGTGACAAAAGACAACTGCTTCAATTCAACGGATATTGCCTTCAAGTATGTCTTTGCCTCGAAGTCGCTGACAACGTCTGGTGCACTGGCGCGGCTGAGTGCTCCCGGGTTGAACGCCGTGGTACCGGTGCTGGTGATGGTGGTGTTTGGACTGTTCATGATGTGATGTGATGTGATGATGTATTCTGAAGTTGTTTTGCTCCCTGGTTACTTGGCACATACTTACCATACATACCCTTATACTCTCCTTATACCCATACCCCGTTTGGCTGTGAGCCGACGATGATTTGTTTTGCAATGAAGTTGCATGTTTAATGTTCCATCATGGTGTTGTGGTAATATGGTACTCATTACATATTATATATCGAATCAATCTCACATACCTCATACCTCAAACCCTAACATCTACGACAACTATCTCACTACTCCTCACTTCTACCTCCTACCTACACCCTGCTATATAACTACAACCCCCTCACCACCCCCAAAATGACCTCTACCACCTCCCCCGGCGCCTCCTGCGGCGCCCAATGCCCCACCCCGGGAATCAACCTCACCTCTCTCAAATCCCCACAACTCGTCCCATTGCGCATATTCTCCAGCGCCCCCGGCTCCTGATACACCCCCCAATCACTCTCCCCGGAGGCAAACGCACACGGAATCTCAATCCTCCGCCCCGCAAACACCTCCCAATCCCACGTATATTCCCCTCCCGGCGTCGTCCGCACCCTATACCAATTCAACGCACCCTGGAACCCCGTACGCGCATATTCCCCCACATACACCGACAGCTCCTCATCACTCATCCACTCCTTACTCTTTGATACTCCCCGCGCATCCGCCTGCCGCATCATCTCCTCCACCGTCTCGGGCATACTCAACCCCACCGGCATGATATAATACCCGGGCATTCTGGCTAACTGTTCCCCCGTCCACGAGGAAATAGGTCCCATGTTCGAAGGGTCATTCCCTTCCCAGCAACCACTCTTCAGATGGAAATACCCCCGTAGGAAATCGCGGAGACCTTGCGCGGGGTTCTCCATCTCGCGGCCGGCGTTTTCGGTGGAGTAGTACCATTTATAGTGTTTGAGACCGAGGTTGCTTAGCTCGGATTGTATATCTCCTCCTCCTTCTTTAGTTTCCTTACTCTCATTATTCGCCTGGGGAATAGCAGCCGGAACCCCCGGAAACGGATGACTTAGCAGCACGACACTCCGAAACATATCGGGTCTCGCGACGGCGCAAAAAGCCGCCGTCACGGCACCGGCGTCATGACCTACTACGCATTCCACGGTGGTGTAGCCCAGTGCGTGGACTAGACTCACCACGTCCCGGACTAAGGATAAGCCTGTGAAGGTGGTGAGGTTCGAGTCGGGGTAGTTGGGGGCGTCTTTTTCCCAGCCTGTGGTGCGCCCGAAGCCGCGTCCGTCCGGGGCCACGATGTGGTAGTCCGGACCGGCTTGGGTGGAGAGTTGGGGGAGGATGTGGCGCCAGGAGTAGGCGAGTTCGGGGAAGCCGTGGAGGAGGAGGATGAGTTTGCGGGGCCGTGGAGTGGTTGTTGTTGCTGTTGTGGGGGAGTTGGATTCGAGGATGTGGGTGGTTAGGGTGGGAGTGGTTGGGATGAGGCGGGAGGTTATGGAGGGGGGGAGGGGGAGGGGGGATAGTGATGGTAGTGATGAGGAGGACATTGTTGTATTGGGGTGGTGATTATGGTGATGATGATGAGTTTGGTTATGGTGATGATGTTATTAGATTGATGTGTAATATATTAGGGTGAGATGGGGAGTATAAGGTTCAAGGGGAGAGAGGGGAAAGGGAAGGTTAAGTATTCTGACAAAGAGGGGGATCAGATGTTAATTAATGGTTGGTAATATGGGTAAAGACCCGAGGCTAAATTACTTAAAGTCTACATATCTTCTTCATGATTAGTATAGTTGTTTTAATGGTTCATGTTCATAAAGATGAAGAAAATCAGTTGGGAAGCAAACGAAGAAAAAGGATCCATCCGGCTTGGCTCCATGACGCAAGAGCCCAACTTTGTTTTCCGACTTTCTGCTTCTTTGGCCAAACTTTACTTTTTCTCCTGTTTGTCCCTCCAACTGCTGCGTCACTCATTCTTGTTCTTCTTTTTCTACTTCTTACTTCTTCTTCATCTCCGGCCTGCATCCGAGCTGCATCCTTAATTCCCTCTCCTGCATTCTCCCTCCCCTCCTTGCTCGTCTCCCCTCGCTAATCTCGCCGCCCTCCTTTCCTTTCCCTTTCTCCGCCTCTCGTTCGCTTCCCCGTTGCTTTGCTGCCTTTTCCTTCGTGCCCATATCAATAAACACTTTTCGATCTTCACATACCAACGCCTGTTCGTTGCTATTCTCTTTCCATTCATCTCGCATCTACGACGTTTACGATTTACAATAATCTACAATTAATTGCAACTTTCTCTCCCTCCGGCCTCGGGCACCGCCTGAGCCATGTTCCGCAGAAAGAGGAGCTCCTCTCAGCATCAGGTGAGTCTCCTATTCCGCCGGTCCTCTTGACCTTCATCATCCCCATTGACACGCCCAGCATCCTCTCTCTGCCTCCTCCTCGCAATCCGCCCAATCCGCCGCAAGCCATGCCTTCCTCAAATCTCAACCCTCCTCCAGCAGCCTGTCCTCCGCCGCCGCTGCCGCCGCCCTCCGCAGTCTCACGCCGACCCCGACCTCTGTCGAAAATGTCCAAACAAAGCGCATGATGCAGCGGAGGGCCTCGGTCTCGTCCCAGGCAAGCGGCGTACCCAGTCTGCGTCCAACAAGTCGGAATGGCCTTCGTCGCGCCAATAGTTCGGCTTCCATGTCCACCCGTACATTCCGCGACCAGTCACCGCGACGCCCGGCCTCCAGTTCCGGTCCAGTCGAGGTTGCGCCGCCACTTCCTTCCATCCCTCAAGTATACTCCGCACGAAATAGTAATGCCCATCGTTCGGCCAGTGTCGGGCCGTCGCAGCGACCCAGCCCTCGCGGGAAGACGCCGGCAGGACGAGGCATGAGCGTTGATCGCGGTTTGGCTACCCAGCCCGCTATGCGCGCGCCAGGGTCGACCCCGTCTCCCGAGCTTCGACGACCAACAAGTCGGAATTCCGTCAATTTCTCCTATCCGATGAACTCTAGGCCAAACTCCCCGGACGGGTCCATCAATGCATTGGATAGGCGCGATGCTTCCGCGAGCATCTCACTTGCAGGTCAGCTCTCCTCGCCCGAATCTCCCAAAGTCAAAAATGCCAGTCCTCGATCGGTCCGAGCGACGAAGAGCATGGGCATGTCCCCGGGCAGCCCTGGTCGTGGTGCACAGTCCTCCGGCACTGCAGTAGCCGCTGCGCAGGCTGCGGTGGTGCCCCGGGTACAAGATGTCACTCACACCCAACCTCCGGTTTCTGCGGCCCCTCGCATCGCTGCCCCTCGCGAGCAGACAGTTCCCGACCAGGCCCCTAGTCAGCCTGCTGCTCCCGCAGAACACAAGCAGCCAGTCCGCCCGCATATAGTAAAACGACCTTCCACAGTACCTGAGGATGCCCAGGGCGAGGAACGTGCCGAGTCAACTGTTCCTAAACAGCGGCCTGTTCCACCCCGAGGCGGCAGTGTGACTCCCGATACGCAACCGACGGTCGCATTCCCACCCACACCCGATAGAAGCAAGGATCAATTACTTAGCCCGCCTATAAGTCCCAAGCTGCCCACACAACCCACTGAGACTGGCCAGGATAGCCAGCCGTCAGACATTCGCCAGTCTGGTAGTCCGGGCAGATCTGCGCACTTTTCCCGTCACTTGCTGGTGGCAGCCTTTGCCGGCGAGCAGCTGCACCAACCTCCCCCTAGGTCCCTGTCACCTGCCAAGTCAGCCATGAAGACTCCGCGCAAGATCTCACTTTCTCCGGAGGGGCGGACTGAATCCGTTCTCCGGCCGGGACCACCGCTGAGCGAGCTGTCTGATGGGACCTCGGCAGCCTCCGACGAAGGGTCCAAACCAGGAATCCGGAGGAAGCCAATTAAGGTCAGTTTCGATGACGAGGCGGAGGTGGTGGGGGTTGCTGCAAGTCCACCAACATCGCCGGAGGAAACGCCTCCTGAACCGCTGCACGAGAAGCCCAAACAAAAGACTCATTGGTTTGGCGGTAAGAAGAAACCAACGCCGCTGAATACTGAGTTTGACGAAGTGCTGAAGCCGCGGCGAGCTCTCCCGTCTTTCGGCAGTATACGGGCCGGTCGGGATGGTGAGACGCAAGAGAAATCCGTGCCTGAGTTGAGCGACAACGAGTCAACAACGTCGTCGGACTCGCCTGCGGAAGCACTGAAGTGGTCTTTCTCCAATGACCACGCTATTGGGGGCCTTCTGACCGAAAGTCAATCGAAGGAAGCAGAGCCCCGCGTGGCGCCGCTCATGCTTGCGAATGCAGCCGAAAGCGAATCTGAGGCAGAGAAATCGCCACAGGAGAGTCACTTTGCTAGTCAAACGAATCAGCCAGAAGTTCCTACAGGGACTGTTGATGTTTCTTCTCATGCTGGGCAGGAGCGTACCGCGGAGACGACTTTGTCAGTACCCAATATTATGGTCCAGCCGGCGTCTCCCATGCTTGAGAAGGAGCGTCGGAGTCTCGAGTGGTATGAGGTTCCTGGGGGTTTCCCTCGCTCGTCGTTGGAGTTCGAGTCCAAAGCCCATGGTAAAATGAAGGCGAAGGAGGATTCCACGGACGCTACCAACAATGCCACCATAGGCCCTGCCGATGACGAAAGCGGTGACGAGTCGGGCGACAGTATCTATAGTGATGCTGAGGAAGGAACCGAAGGCAACGGCTTCGGGTCGATCAACGCCATCGTGGACGATGAAACAGCTGCTACTTCGGCTCCCAAGAGCGCAACCAAGATACCTGCAGAGACTGGTGGCACAGGGCGGTCTCACTCACCGTCTACCGACTGGCCAGATATACCTCAAACATGTCAGATTGCACGCACGGTGACTACGTTTCCGGATAAGGTTATGGAGCCGATCCCAGAATCCCCCGGATCTTCCCACGAGCCTCTTCCGTTTTCGTCACCTTATCCCCCGTTTCCGATCGAGCCGAAGAACAGACGAAGTTCTTCTCAAGCCGACATTTCACGTTCCTCCTCGGTCGCTGTTCGTCCAGCCAGGCATTCCATGCTGGTAGGAAGTAGCGACGCAATGCCTAGTAACAAGGCACCGCGCGCTATGAATGGGTCAGCTGTAAATGGGCAGTTGGAATCCCAGCCTGAGCCACCTAATGTGAGGCAGCGGCCTACTCCAGACAGTTCCCAGAGACGACCGGTTTCGTGGAGCCCAGCTCTTGCCGACTCCCAAGACCTGAGCCGTACGCCGCGCATTAACGGCAAAACCTCGCCGGCGTCACCAAGACCGTTATCCAGCGGTAGTGATTCGTCCAGCAGCTTCAAGCGGGCTAGTCGACCGGCGCGCGCAGACTCCAACTACACCATGAGACGGACCATGCGAAGTACTCCGGGCCGCTTGGCCTCTAACAGAGCAACGTCCCCGCCAGTGGATACCCGCCCGGTGTCATCCGAATCTGGATTTGGCACCATGCGCACAACCTTACGGGCAAATGCTCCCAAACGTGAGAAGCCCTCGTTCTTCTCCAACAACAAGGCTCAAAAGTCCAAGCTCACAAAGGTGCCGGGCGGTGGTTTCGCCTCCCGGTTCCCTGACTCGGACTCGGACGATGAGGGGTACGAGGCCTGGAGGTCACGGCATCGGTACGAAGATTCCAGTGATGATGAACAGCGGAGCCCGAATGCCATGCGACCTGTCCGGGGCATTCCTCGTCGGCAGGGCACGCACGACGGCGATTCGACAGAACTGGAAGACAGCTCAGATGAGGACCATCGTGCACCCCCACTAGCCAATCCACAGTCCCCAGCGAAGCCAAGCACATCTCGGGACCCTGCACTAGCCGCTGTAGCTAAAAATCGCGGCATGACGGAGGAGGAGCTCGACGAATTCCTGCACCAACCCAATCGTGGTCGGAAGCCTGGACTTCTCAAGCGTTTCAGCATTCGAAAGTCGAAGTCCCCTCTGGATAGAGGCCTAGTCAAGCCCGGGATAGACAGTCCCGTACGCAACGGAGGGCCTGCAGAGCGGCCCCGAGTGGATCAAGAGCAAGCACGAGGGGAATCTCCCTTTCCCGGGGCCGAGTCGAATATTGTGACGACCATTACGGCGACTAATCCCGCCCCACCCCCGTCCAAGCTGCTTCGCAGGCCTTCGCAGCGGTCCTCCCGCAGCGACAACTGGCCATTGCGCTCCGATCGGAAGGAGAGTCGGACAGGTTCACCCCTTCCTGCGAATGGCCCTGCAGAGCGACTAGCCACCGTCGATGAAACTCCTCGGAACGGCAGTACGGTTGTTTCACCTTCTCAGGGATCTGTGAAAGAGAACGTGAATCCTTCGACTGGCGTGACTGCGGACAAGAGTGAGGGACGGCCGACCAACGTGGCGGACGTACCGATTTCATCTTCAGGACGCAAGAAGCGATTTCCCCGACTCCGGAAGGCGTTTGGCCTGCGCGACTGAAGCGAAGCGAACCTTCTCTTCTCATATATATACATACGATCTAATACCTGGTCTTGCTATCTTCATCCTGTCATTTTCTTCTCTTCCATGTCTCTGTTGAAAATATGTGTTGTAA